TGAACCAACACTCGGCTACCTGTTTCTGGGCCGTTGCACACAAGCAACGTGCGGCAGGTAAGTTGCTTAACGCAATTCGCGATTAAGACAAAACGCATCTTTTCGGGATTCGAACCCGGCACCTCCGACTTCAAAGCCGACCTTCTTGCCACTGCGCCATCACGGCCCAAAAATAGTATTATATAGATCTGGCTGTTACGCTTTGGAATCCATTGCAATTGCCCTTTTAGCGGAAGACCGGGACCACTGGAAAGAAACGAAGCAGCAGCTATCGCGACCCGTAGGGGATAGCGAGCTTTGCAAATGAACGAATGAGTGATCAATGCAGCGATACTAACTTTACATTGTTCTAATCTCTTCTATCATCAACGATATTTTCAAATTACTCGACTTGAACAATGGATGGAAATTGTTCTGCAAGTTAGCTGATTGAAACATACCGGTACAACCATTGGTGGCGATACTGTTCATCCTGATTATGCAAGTGAATGGATCTCCGTGACCAACGAGTTTGATACTAAGGTTCAGACTAAACGCATGGACGCTGGCTCTGGCGCAAGCGTAGGTAAGAAACCCACGGTCATGTTGCAAATATTCCAGTGAAATGAATGGCCGGCACTTGTGTCAACAACTATAACGAAAAAGGTCAGATGTCAGCTCTCTAATTTCAGTATAAAAGAAAAGAAGACAGGGAAGTTTGCAATCGTGGAAATATCGATCTTACTGACACATTCATGGTGGGATCATTCTGGTGCCCTCGTTTCATACTGTTTAAAATGGTGCGGAGCTGATTTTCGTTTCGACGCCATCAGCCAGGAACACCGTGTTTAAAAGGCAAAGTTTACAGCTATGTGGCAAGCACAGCGTGAGTCTCGTTGTTTCGTCCCATAGCGATACGCACTCGTCAGCCTCGGCAAAATGGATGGAGAGTGACTTGACTGGGGCCTAAGCTACGATCTCGTTCCATTTCTGGTTGTCATCTTTGTATTGCCCATCTTCCATTTTTGCTGCACATGAGGCGTTATTCTCCGTTAAAGCAGGTAGACGATATAACGAAATCATTTTCTCTCGCTTTATTTGGTGATTACTATGCAAGACAGCCTTCATGCTTAACGTGCTGTTTTTAATCAGTTTTTCTATTAGACAGCAAGGTGCACTGGGTAGCTATTGCCAATCTGATATTCAGAAAACAGAATAAAACACCACTTACACATAAGACAAATAATACAGTCAATCGGATGACTGACCAATTCCGAGTTAACGTTAGGCCTTCTTCGAGGTAACGAAGGTTGGTTTCGGTCAGAATGCCTTCTGACTATAAACATTAGAACAGCTGTGAAATAAAGGAACAATTTCTGAAATCAACCCCCTCTACCTTAAAGAATGGCCGTGAGACAGAGCCGAAACGTCGGTACCGGTCACTCATCTGACTGACCACATTGTTTACACTGTGTTATAAATAAACGCTGTTTTATGTTATTCCCAGTATGACCACCAGTACAGGAACGAATTAGTCAATTATATATTATAGTCGCTAAACGGCAAAAAAGTTTAATTTTCACATTTTTGCTGAAAAAAGATGTCTTATTACCTGATAAACAATTAAAACTTAGTTGCTTTGCTGACTTATTCAGCAACTACAACCGTCCATCGAACCAA